GTTATCTTCCAGCTGCTGCTCCGCCCCTTTATATAGTCGCAGACCTATAGTCTGGGGTACTAGTACAAGGGGTCTCCTACAGCTATTCATAGAGTTAATGAAATAGACCGAGACAAATACTAACTGCTGCGAGCCAAGTAGTTGGTGAGCTAATGTTAGTACAGGTGAAATAGAAACCTGAAACATGAAGATCTTGTTTGCATGACCTGAGTGAGTAAATCGTAAAAACGAAAACTGCTAACCCTAGAATATGTCCACAAGACCTATGAACCATAAATAGTAAGTGTCATGTGCAACGTAAACTGTCACGTGACCATGAAGCGCTGAAACTGTAGCACAAGCTCCCCCTTCCAACCGGCAAGACCCTTGACGACCACTCACCAAACTAACCCATCATCGCCCTCTGCGGACACCTACATGGTCATAGATTGGGATGGTGGTGTGGGGTATGACCTCCCAGCCATCGTCGAGATCCTCTTGGGGCTGAGGATGGAACTCGGTAGGTGCCCAGTGCGAGACAGATCCGTCTTCATAGAGGATCGCCTTCAGTGCTTCGACACCATCGGTAAGCCATCCAGGCTGCTCGATCATGGCAACGAGGGGTTGGAAGATGACTGGCGTGAACTCATGAGGTGTCTTGGTGTCTCCATAGTGGACTTTATTGGAGAATATTCTGAATAGTTCGACCTCGTATTGCTCGATGCCTTCTTCCTTGTCCGCGAAGCGAACACTGATGACGCGTGTCCGGTTGGGTGTTGGATGCCAGTCGAGAAGCATGACCCATTGACTGAAGATGTGATGAGGTGAGTCCTCTGAGTAGAGATGCCAGGTGACCTTCTGATTGTCCCAAGTGAAGACGAAGGCATGGAAGGTGGCGAAGTCGCCCGTGCCTGTACGATGGATGTAGAGACGATGGCCATCGCATTCCATAAGGAATGTTAGTGGCGTGGCGATGAAGACATCGTAGGGTGATGCTACATCTGGGGCGATGAGCGATACCTGTCCTGCCGCTGGGTTGCTGGAAGACTTGACCATTTGAGCATACCTTATCTGCTCCTTGATGGTGTCAGCCGGTGCAGGTTGTGATCTGTCCTCAGGTGGGTCATTGTAGGGGTAGGTGGTGCCATCACGATGGGGGTAGCCGGGTCGTTCATCGTCGGCATTCCTTGCCTGTTCATTGTTGTCACCCCAGGCTCTCCCCATCGTCCAAGACCCTCCCGTCGTCCAATGACC